ATTCCTGTTTTTTTTTTTAATCCTCACCCGAGGACAATTTTCTATTTTTTATTCAGATAGAGTGGGAGGGAGAGAGAGGAAGAGACAGAGAGAGAAACATCGATGTGAAAGGGACACATCAAGTGGCTGCCTCCCGAACGACCCAGCCAGGGCCGGGGACAAACTGCAACCGAGGTACGTGCCCTTAGCAGGAACCGAACCCGGGTCTCTCTGGACTGCAGGCCGACGCTGTAATCGCTGAGCCAAACTGGCCAGGGCTAATTTCTGTTTTACAACAGACCCCAAATGGTTTTGTAAGTTGCCCAAGTCATACAATTAGTAACTGGGTGAGCTGGGATTTAAATCAAGGTAGTCTGGGCTCAGGGCCTATGCTCTTAATCAGTATTTTTGTTCTCTCTGATTTGGGCACCGGGTCCTTTGATCCCTTTTTACATTTTTTTCTTTTCTCCTCATTTTGTCGAATCCTTTGTCGCCAGCTTCTTAAGAGTTTCTCCGGTCAGTTCCGACTTTTTCCTAAAGTTGGTATTTGGCTTATCAATAGTGAATTGGAGAGGCTCTCAATAATATCCAGAAAATATTGAGGTGAAGGTTTGTGTATGTGTTTTGTATGTATGTGTTCTCCCTAATCCTGTTGACAAGTAGATTCTTTTATGATGCTATTATCTCATTTCTGAAAGAAAAAAATTTGTTTTTAGTGTTACTGAAGTACAGAGTTAACATTTCAGATAAAACTAGCTTTTACCCAAATACACAAAATCAGAAATGAAAGAGAAGTAACAGCGGACACCACAGAAATACAAAATATCATTAACAATTACTATGAACACTTATATGGCAACAAATTCGACAACCTAAGCGAAATAAACAAATTTCCGGAAACACATAGTTTCCCAGAACTGGACCAGGAAGAGATAGAAAACTTGATCAGACCAGTAACAACAGAAGAAATTGAAGAGGTAATCAAGACTCTCCCAGCAAACAAAAGCCCAGGTCCAGATGGCTTCACAGGGGAGTTTTACTAAACATTCAAAGAAGAACTAACACCCATTCTCCTCAAACTATTTCAAAAAATTCAAGAAGAAGGAAGACTTCCAAACTCGTTTTATTAAGCCAGCATAATTCTAATTCCAAAACCAGATAAAGACACTAGAAAGAAAGAAAACTATAGGCCAATATCCCTGATGAACAGACACCAAAATCCTGAACAAAATACTAGCAAATTGGATCCAGCAATACACCAAAAAAATTATCCACCATGACCAAGTGGGATTCATCCCAGGGATGCAAGGCTGGTACGATATTCGCAAATCAATAAACGTGATACACCACATAAATAAAGTGAAGAATAAAAACCACATAATCATATCAATAGATGCCGAAAAAGCATTTGACAAAATCCAGCATCCATTTCTGATAAAAACACTCAGCAATGTGGGAATAGAGGGATCATATCTCGACATAATAAAGGCCATATATGAAAGATCTTCAGCCAACATCATACTCAATAGGCAAAAACTAAAAGCATTTTCCTTAAGAACAGGAACAAGGCAAGGATGCCAACTTTCTCATTTCGCCACTCTTATTTAACATAGTACTGGAAGTCTTAGCCACAGCAATCAGGAAGAAAAAATAAAAGGGATCCAAATTGGAAAGGAGGAAGTGAAACTGCCACTATTTGCAGATGACATGATACTATACTTAGAAAACCCCAAAGACTCCATCAAAAATTTACTAGACTCAATAAATGAATTTGGCAAAGTAGCAGGATACAAAATTAACGTCAAAAAATTAATGGCATTCTTATACACCAATGATGAACTCACAGAATGAGAAACTAAAAAAACAATCCCATTTACCATTGCAGCAAAAAAATTAGGATACCTAGGAATAAACGTAACCAAAGAAATAAAGGACCTATTCGCAGAAAAGTACAGGTCATTGAAAAAAGAAATAGAGGAAGATATAAAAAAGTGGAAGCACATACCTTGTTCATGGATTGGAAGACTTAACATCATTAAAATGTCCATACTACCTAAAGCAATCTATAGATTCAATACAATTCCCATCAAAATAGCAACGGCATACTTCACAGAATAGAACAAGTACTTCAAACGTTCATATGGAACCAAAAAAGACCTCGAATAGCCACAGCAATCTTGAAAAAGAACAAAGTTGGAGGGATCACATTACCAGATTTCAGGTTATGCTACAAAGCCACTCTAATCAAAACAGCTTGGTACTGTCACAAGAACAGGCATATAGACCAGTGGAACAGAACAGAGAATCCAGAAATGGAACCAAGGCAATTTGCTCAATATTTGACAAAGGTGGCAAGAGCATACAGTGGAGTAGGGACAGCCTCTTTAATAAATGGTGTTGGGCCCTGGCCGGTTTGGCTCAGCGGTTAGAGCGTCGGCCTACGGTCCGGAGAGACCCAGGTTTGGTTCCCGCTAGGGGCACGTACCTCGGTTGCAGTTTGTCCCCGGCCCTGGTTGGTCGTGCGGGTGGCAGCCACTCGATGTGTTCCTTTCACATCGATGTTTCTCTCTCTCTCTGTTCCTCTCTCTCCCTCCCACTGTACCTGAACAAAAAATGGAAAAATGTCCTCGGGTGAGGATGGAAAAAAAAAAAATGGTGTTGGGAAAATTGGACAGATGTTAAGTCTTCCAATCACTGCAAGAAAGTGAAACTAGACCATCAACTTACACCCTACAGAAGAATAAACTCAAAATGGATAAAAGACTTAAATGTGACTCATGAATCCATAAAAATCCTAGAAGAAACTAGGCAACAAAATTTCAGACGTCATATGCAGCAGAATTTTCACTGATACGTCATCTAAGGCAATAGAAACAAAGGAGAAAATGAACACATGGGACTACATCAAACTCAAAATCTTCTGCACATACAATCATCAAAACGGAAAGGCTACCCACTGTATTGGAGAGCATAATTGCCAATGACATATCAGAGAAGGGGTTAATTTCCAATATATATAGAGTGCTCATACAGCTCAATGAACGGAAGACAAAGAACCCTATTAAAAAATGGCCAGAGGAGCTGAATAGACACCTCTCCGAACAGAACATACAAATGGCCAATAGACATATGATGAAACGCTCAACATCACTAATCATCAGAGATAAGCAAATTAAGTCAACAATGAGGTATCACTTCACACCTGTCGGAATGGCCGCCATCAACAAATCATCAAACAACAAGTGTTGGCGAGGGTGTGGAAAAAAGGGGACTCTAGTACACTGCTGGTGGGAATGCAGACTGGTGCAGCCACTATGGAAAACAATATGGTGTTACCCAAAAAAATTACAAATTGAACTTCCATTTGACCCAGTAATCCCACTTCTAGGAATATACCCCAAGAAGCCTGAAACACCAATCAGGAAGAATATATGTACCCCCATGTTTGTAGCAGCTCTATTTACAATAGCTAAGATCTGGAAACAGCCCAAATGTCCATCAGTAGACGAATAGATAAAAAAGCAGTGGTACATATACACAATGGAGTACTACGCAGCTGTAAGAAAGAAAGACCTCTTATCCTTTGAGACGACATGGACGGACCTGGAAAGTATCATCCTAAGTGAAACAAGCCAAACAGAGAAAGACAAGTATCATATGATCTCACTTATTTGTGGAATATAATGAACATAGTAGTCTGAGCAATGGGGTAGTCTCAGAGACGTGGAAGTGGGTACAGACTGACAATCCCCAGAAGAGGGGTGGTGGGGGAGAGATAAACCACAGAACTTATATGCATGTATGCATGAACAATGGAGAAGGACAACAAAGCTGGGGACAGGGCAGGGAGGGAGGGGGGAATCAGTGGGGGGAAAAGGAGAAACATCTGTAACAAAAATTAATTAATAAAAATAAATTAATAAATAAAATGGAAAATAAATCAATGCCAAAAAACAAACAAACAAAAAAAACTAGCTTTTATTTCTATACTTTATACTTGACTATCATATGGATCATGTTTTTATTTTCTGTAATGTGTTTACTTCGCACTTCATAGTTTAATGTAGACTTTTTCTGATAAGTTGTTAATCTTGTTTTAGAGAACATGATAGCCATTGATAACTTTGCTTTTTAACTTTTGAATTGCTGCTTTTTCCCTCAACATTTTATTTTGAAAAATTTAACACAAAGAAGTATTGAATGATTAGTACCTTCACACACCTTAACTACTTTATCTGTGTGGGTGTGGGTGTGTGTGCGCGCGCACATGTGTTTTGTTGATGTTAGACCATCTGAAAGTTCCTTTCAGGTATCATGATTCATATTGACATTTTATCCCTAAGCACTTCAGTATGCATCTCCTAAGAACAAAGACATTCCTTTACAAATCCACATATCATTATCACAGTCCAAAAATGAAACAGTAGTTTTAGAATATCATCCAGTATTAAACCCATATTTAAATTCTCTCACTTCTACCCGAAATATCTTTTTATTTTTCCCAAACCAGAATCCAGTCAAAATCACATGCTGTATTTGGTTAAGTCCTTTGAAGTTTAATTTCTTGAATCACTTTATCTGACTTGAAAACCTTCATATGACCTTAGAAAATCTCTGACACTGTTTACTTATGGGTGGAGAGTTGTAAATATTGGTCTCTCTCTTCACTGCCATTCACTCCCCTTAGTAGCTTTATAATTCTCTTTAGTAAAACTAATAAAAGTGGATTTTCAGTTTTGTTCTCTTAAATGTTTTTTAATAGGATATTAAGATCCTTACATTACTTTCAGTTTGGTCTGAGGTTTGGGGCCACATATTTTAAAATCCATCTAAAAGCAAGCTTTTTCTGAATTCTGAGATTTTTTTTCTTGTTTTAGATTACCATTAATATTATTTGCTTTGATCCTAGTCAAAAGGACCATACTAGATCAAGTGGACTGTTCTGGTGCTTGACAAATGTTTCTGATTGCCTTTTGTTTCTTTGTTTTAAAATGACTTTATTTATTTCTGGTCTTTTACAGAGTGAAGTAATTGGGAAACTATTCATTCATGGATAACAGGAGGCATTGTATTATATTTTGCCAAACTAAAGCCTTATTTATGTTTTCACCCTTTCTACTTCGTCAGAAACACTGAACAGAGTTTTGTCTTTTCTAATCCTTGTTAGACTACTGATATAAAGAAAGAAAAAAGCCAACTCTGTAGACACCTTCAGAGTTTAGTTTTATAATAAAAAATGTTTGAATAATTACACCTTTACATTCCTGAAGATAAAATAAACATGTAATCTTTTATCTTATTTTGCTCAATAAAATTGTTCGGAAGATCAAAAGTGGTAAAGACAATGTAAAATTTAACATTTTAATACTGATATTGTGCACTGTTTTACTTAACATTTTGGGGAGTAACTGCCTCTGATTTCAACTTAAAAAAACACTTTTTGTTGCTAATGTAATCGGTTTTTGTAATGGCGTCAGCAAATAAAGGGATGCTTATTATTCAGACTTGTTCTAATTTCATTGAGCTTTAGCAGATTTTATTAGCACTGCAGACCAACATAGTATGGAACACAATTCGTAATTTCAACCTTCAAACAAGATAAGATAGGTATTGTTGCTTATACAACCTCTCTGCTGGAGCTCTGGTCTTCTCTGTGGTTCTTTGTGACATAGTCTTGTCCAGAAGAGCTGTGGGTGACAGACAGGACAGGCAGACATTTAGGGTTTCAGACTTAACCACTCCCACTTCAGGTTGAGCACTTCTACTTTATTTTTACTGTTACTATTATTTTATGTAATAATAATTAACTTTTTAGTTTCCTTCTTGCCAGGTACTGTGTTACAGCTTGCGAGTTATCTATTTTTTAAATCCTCACTTGAGCATGTTTTTATTGATTTTTTAGAGAGAGGGGAAGGGACAGAGGGGTGGGCGTGGGGGACAGAGACGGAGAGAGGGAGAGATCGATATGAGAGGGATCGAACCTGCAACACTTAGTTGTACAGATTGATGCTTCAACCAACTGAGCCACCTGGCCAGGGTCATGTGTTATCTTTTATTGTTGTTGAAGAAACTTAAAAAAAAAATAACCGGATGAAAAACAGCCCTTCACATGCTAAAAAACCACTGACAAATATCTGTGCCATTGAGTATTGCAGCATTAAAGTGCCTGGCCTCCCTGCTCTTTCAGTCATGTTTTTACCATGGAGCCTTTCCACTTCCTGTTCCCTCTGCATAAGACTTTCTTTTCTTGGCTTGCTCTGTCACCATCTTGAGATCCGTTTAAGATGCCACCTTTCTCATTGGATCTTTCTTGATCATCAATATCCCCTTGCCTTCTTGGCCTCTACCTGTTTTTGTCTATAACGTTGATAATCTTCAAGTATATATTTGGTCACTCCCAGGCCCCCACCAGAGAGTAAGCTCCATGAAGGCAGAAATCATCTCTTGTTCTTTGCTTTATCCCCAGCCCTGAGAAAGTATTTGACAATTGTGCTCAAGTATTTAAATCAGTGAATTGATGAAATTTATTTTTATAGCTTAAAGATTATCTAGTGTGTTGCCTCTCAACCTTTTCACCTCACAGCACACGTATCAAATGGTATTTCTATGGTGTATATAGATAAGTAAAGAGTCTGCTCTGGGGATTTGGGCTTCCCCAGGCCTTACCTGGCTGCTTTCGGCAAACCATTGGGAAATTGATCTGAAGGCCGAACATTGGATCAGCATCTTTCTTTTTTTCCCTCCGTTTTGCCTGTAAAGATACTTATGTCTTTGCCACCTGAAAAACAGACAAACCATTTCCATCTTCTATTTTACAACCTTTCATTACTACTCTTCTCTCTCGTCAGAGCTTAGTTCCTGAAAAGAATTGTATAATTGTATTTTTTTTCAAACTCCCTCTATGTTGGAATTTTTAACCTGTTAACCGGGGAATTCCCTTTTTAATTATGCAGCAAGTCTTGTATCTCACTGTATGCAACGTTTGACGCATTTATACGTCCCGCTCGGTTAACAGGTTAAGAAATAAAATAATTGCAAGAGACAGAGGACTCAGTCCATTGTCTTATTTGTGTCCCCTTCCTCAACATCCCAACCAAAATACATATTCATCTTTTTGCTTCTGCAGTGGCAGGATGTTCATAACATTGCCTATTCCAATTAGGACAGTTGTAATTGTTAATAGTTATTAAATTATATTAAAATCTGTTCCTGTTACTTGCATCAGTTGTTGTTCTTCCTTACTCCAGAATCAAATAGGAAAAGCTTATCACACTCCCATTGAGTTAATCTTCAGATATGCCAGGATAGCTCCGTGCTTGCTCAAAGTCCATTCCCCTCTAGGTGAAGTACTCCCAGTTTCTTGGTTGCCCTGAATGATGAAAGACCACACTAGCCTACTCATCCATTTCCAACTGCCCACCTTTACCCAGGGTACTGGAAGCAGTTTACTGGGAGAGACAGGGAGCATCTACACTAAGACGGAGCCATGTATCCTGTCTCTAGTGGCTCCTCTTGCCACGACTGCAGCTGACGGAGGCAGGAAGCCCTAAGAAAAGTACTCAGATTAGGAAGGACCTACAGGGAGAATGACAGTATAGTTGGGAGCATACTTGTTGCTCCCCCAAAACAGAATGGAGAGAGCTGAAAGAAGAGTGAGGGGCTATGACCTTGTTTGGTGTGGCAAAACTGGTAAGTTTCCTGGAGGTCAGTGACGTGTAAAGCACCCAGGCTGGAGTGGCTTGCAGGTGTTCACCCCAACAGCAAGAGGTTGTAGGGTGTGCATCAGTAGGCAGAAGCTGTATTGCCTGAAGTTTGAGCCAGGGCCGGATTTTCCACATGTCTTGCATCCCAGGACAGACTGCATATGGGCACCTGCCATTCATGGGATCTTCCCTAGCTGGCGTGTATAGGAAAAGTGACTACCAGGAAAGGGTTGTAGTTGTAACCTCAGCTGAGTAAAGAGTTGTTCCTTGACCCCCTTTGTCATCTGGGTCCCCAGAGAAAAGAGGGCAAAGGAGGAGTTAACAGACACTTAAGGCCAGTAGTCAAGCCTGAACTGGGAGGAGATGGGAGATGGGTTATTAAACTGGGCTCCACTCACTCAAGGGCAGCTACGGGATCTGCTCTTGATGTGCTTTGAGGGGATGGCTGCAGAGTGGTTGAAGACCATGATGATGGGAATGAGACCAAGTCCAGGCTGTTTTACCAACTGGTTGGCAGGTTTTTCTATTTTTTGACTCAATTTTTATCATTTGCTTTTTTTGAAAATAGGGAATATTTATTTTTGGTGATTAAAGAACTTAGGAAACAGTCAAACAGGTGGGAAAAGGTGTCATATACATTTAATGCATTGTTTATTTTGATATGAAGAATTAGGAAGTTAAAAGTTTTTTAGTTACAAGCAGGTTCTTCTTGAGCTATTATTCAATACAAAAGTTCTTGGGATTTCATTCAATGCCAAGTACAAGGTTTCTGTTTTTTCTACTGAATATAGTAGTCATTAAAAAATATCTGAAGTAGCCCTGGCTGGTTTGGCTCAGTGGTTGGAGCGTTGGCTCGCAGAGTAGAGAGGCCCGGGTTTGGTTCCTGCTAGGGGTGCATACTTCTGTTGCATTTTGTCCCTGGCCCTGGTTGGGGTGTCGCCACTTGATGTGTTTCTCACATCGATGTTTCTCTCTCTTCCTCCCTCTCTCCCTCCAGCTCTGTTTGAAGATAAATGCAGAAATGTCCTCGGGTAAGGATAAAAAAAAAATCTGAAATAATTATTACAGATCTAATCAATACACCATACACTGTAGTTGTAGAAAACGGAAATTCGCTTACTTATTTTGATGAATTGTTTTAAGTTTCGACACCACCTAAATTGTGTAGGCTCTTCTGACCCCTACATTCAGTTTTTCTTCTTGTTAGCTATTTGAGTAAAATGAGAACGTGTCTCAAATACCAACCCAAATGCAACAATGAGTTTTCTTCACCAATTTCTTCGTTGCCAAGTCCATGGTCACTATTTATAAATATTCCAAGCAATTGAAAAGATTGAATATTATATAGTTGTTTAATTCAAATTTGTCAATTGATACATTCCCACAGTTCCCAACTGTGTTTCTGATTCCTTAGGCCTGGGGTGGGGCTCAAGAAGTTGCAGTTAAAACCAGTTCAAAGGGGCGCGGATGCTTGAGGACTACACTGAAAATCATGCATATGGTTTTCAATTTGCTTTTCTTCTGTAATTTCTTCAGTTTCTTGTTAAATAACCATTCTGGTTTTCAAGATTGCTTAATATTTACTAATTATTTTTATACCATTCCTGAAACTTCTACAGATTTGGCGGAAAAGAGAGGTGTGAAAACTAACTCCTTGAAAACTAACTTCTCCCAAAATAAACCAAAAAAAAAAAAGTAGTGCTAACTGGTGGTTTTCTTGGTGTTCTTTGTGTTTCTTGATATTTCCCGTTATGCCATTAGGAGTATTCAAAACAAAACAAACCAAACCAAGGTTATCGTAAGCTTTTCCCCTCTTTGGTGGATTTCTTTATGCCCCCTCCCCCACCTGGATATGCATGAATGCTATTCTCCCATTGACCAATGTTACGATTTTTTGTCCCCTTGAAGAAAGAATAGTTGGGATAAAATCAGATGGAAAAAAACACAAGCTCTGCTCACTTTTGATACCAAGGGCAGGATGATGTGTGCACTCATCAGTGTGCGGACAGCATAAAAACCCAGGTATGAAGACTTACGAACTCTGCTTCAGGTTCCCTTACCTGACAGTCTACAGACTTGCTCCTTGTTTAGACAAACATGTCCAGGCAGGTGGAACATGGTTTTTCTAACAACCAATCTTTTTTGTTTTCCTAACAACCAATCTTGGTAACTTTTTGCCCATAACTTGATACCTATTTTGAAGAAGTTAGCTGCATTTCCTACTCATATCTGCACAAGAAATACAAAACTTCCTTTCACTTGCGCTGAGCACCTAGCTCGAGTGTTTAAGTAGCTTTAACAGACACCTGGCCTCCCTCTCATCGTTCTCAGGCAGCTAGGAGTGCAGTGTCACCTGTTTCATTACCTTAGAATATCTCACCCCACAGCCTAGAATAATACTGACTTAGGATATCTCACCCAACTTTTTTTATTGATTTATTTTTGTTACAGATGTTTTTCCTTTTTTCCCCATTGCTCCCCCACCCCATCTCCAGCTTTGTTGTCTACATCCATCGGTTATGCATACATGCATATAAACTGTGTAGTTTTAATCTTTTTTTTTTTTATCCTCACCTGAGGACATTTTTCCATTTTTTGTTCAGGTAGAGTGGGAGGGAGAGAGAGGAACAGAGAGAGAGAGAGAAACATCGACGTGAAAGGGACACACCGAGTGGCTGCCACCCGCACAACCGACCAGGGCCGGGGACAAACTGCAACCGAGGTACATGCCCTTAGCGGGAACCGAACCCGGGTCTCTCAGGACCGCAGGCCGACG